TTTGTCTGTCATTGATGAAATTTGATGCACTGGCCTGTTTTGATCCGAAATTATTTCGGATTGGATGACTATTTCCACTATGACTATTGCCCATATAACACATTATTTTGTATAACCATATGAAGCGAAGTGATGTAGGACATTTAACGATGGACCATAGTCCATTTCTACTTGTTTTATTTTTGTGTTATTAAAAAAAAAAAAAAACAAAAGAAAAAAAGGAAAAAACTACGTATATAAGAAAATGATTTTCACATTTTTTTCTTCTTTATTTCCAATGCTTACTTTTCTAATAATTTGATCAAAAAAGTGCCGATTTACATATGTACGTATGTATGTAAGTTTAATGTGGCATATGTTTGTATATAAACTATCTTCGATAGATGTGCTCTTATATGGCCTTAATATTATATATGCATATATTTCTGTGTGTGTGATTGTTCTTATATCCTAAACAGAGTTTACTCTGTCTCTCTCGCTCTAATTATGTTCTATTTATTAGATTATTGTAAACTTTTCATTGTCAATGTTAATGAAATCGCAGTGTTTTTTTATTGTTTTTGCTTTTTTTTTTCTTTTTTTTTTTTTGTTTTTTCTTTAAGGAATAACAATTTCTATGGACGCATACGCATGCGATGATCTAAATTATAGGAAATTGTAGGACAAATCTTCTCAATCCAAATCTAAATTATGTTTTTATATATTTCCACATTCTTCTCTGCATTATTTCTTTTCTATCAATATTTTTATGCATTTTTTACAAACTTAATGAACGTTTAATGTTTGGCTTTGGATTGTTGTATGAGGAGAAAATATTGAGCCTTATAATAAAATTGGCTTTAACTAGCTGCAAATATCACTTTCTAAGAAAAAATGAATGCAAGAATTGTGATCGTCTTTAAAGGTTTAACAGTTTTTTTTAGACCAACCCATAGTTTTTTAAATGCTTTTTCGTATATATATGTATTTATAAGTATATTTACATACGTGTATATTAATTCCTTTGGAAAATCCACGGAAAGTTTATAATCAAGCCTGCGTGACCTGCGTGCAATCTGTACTTCATTGCTTTATTATTTAACAGATAAAAAATTATATAATATATATATGTATATATATATAACCCATTAAGCAACCATTCATTGAAAACCTCTTATTATTGTCGATCAGCTTGAGAATTTCAGTTTAACTTAAACATGTCTAATTGTTGTCTGCATTAGGCAATACTAGTACGTGGCTCGTAAATCCTGGCAGGAATTCCATAGATAGCCTCGAAATGTAATCAAAAATTTCATTATGTTTTCATCAGTAACCAGTAGCCTTTCAGATCGGAGACAACTTAAAACTGTTCTTGATCTTCGTAAGATTTGAAATCTAATTTCTCATGTTCTCATGTTCTCGCGAAGTCTTTCAGTCTCTACGTTCACTTCTACGGCAACTGTTAAAGTTCTTTAAATCGATTCCGTACTAAGGTAATTTGCTAACAATTTTGGCGAGTATTGACATCTCTCCTATTATAATCGAATCCATCCTTAGACTCAGAAACTCATAGATTATATGAATTCATGATTCCACGAATCGATTTAGTTATTCGCACTACTGCTTTTTTGTTCGAAATCTGATATTATTTAAATAGAAGTTGAAAACTTACTACTTATGCATACTGGCTGAAGTCCTCAGATCAGATTTGAAGTTAGTTTTATTAATTAACAAATTGATTTGTATTTAATGACAAATTAAAAAAAAAAATAAAAAAAAAACAATTAGAAAAAGATAATTCATAGATATTTTTCTCAGTTGCTTAAGTGTTAAAGTAGATAGATACTGATGGAGACTTCTAAGACACGCGAATACTCGTGCACGACCACAATTTTCTTCAAGGAGAATATAGTTTCCTTATTACATTGAAGTGTACTTACAGAATTCTATGTATTTCAATGGTCTCTCCGTCCGTCTGTTTTACTTTAGGACTTACACTCTTGCATATATTTATATAGAATCTTGAAACATGGGAAGTGCGTTCTTCATCAAATTTATCACACAACGTGCCTATGCAATTGAAAAGAGGAAGCTTAAAACCTATAATTTATAGATATTATTGTCAAAAACTTATAAATTAGGGCTAAAATTTAAAGTTTCGGGTTTCATTGCGAAAATGGCTTTGTACTACCATCTATGACAGATATCGACCTAAGTTTGGATGTAAAAATTGAAGACAATAATTGAGCAATGCAATTATATTGATTCAAGTAGAGTTGGATCCGCACCAACCCACGTTAAGACAAATTGAATTATTTTTCTAGACTTCAAGTCCCTATCCGTTTCGAGATCCATACAATGCTGGCGATCGTGAAAACTAGCTGTGAAAAAACTTCCAAGCACCTAATGTTCCTTAATTTGATATGCTTAAGTCTCGAAGAAAGCAGAGGAAAATGTTATGCGTTAACCATAAAACCAGTAAAGGAGAAGGAAAGTGAGAGTCGCTTTGGAAGAACTCTATACAAGAAGTTTTCTTAAAAACATTTCATATGTACGTAGATTCGAAGTCCCTAAAAATCACATCAATAATTGACCTTACGTTCCAACATAGGTTAAGACGATATTTTCGAGCAAGGTTAAACATTAAACACCTTATAGCACTTTGCAGTGCTTCTTTTAAAATACATCGGTCGCGGAAAAGGAGTCGTGAAATTAATCAATCCGATGCACAGTGTTCATCCTTGTGGTTGAACCATGTGTCGAAAATTGCGATCTGCAAAAAGAATTCATAAATAAATGGAGAGATGTTAATCAGGCAAACGGACAGATAGGTTTAAATCGTAATCACAATCATTTTCTGAATCGATTCAAATACGTGTATGAGAACTATATTTTAAATCGGTTTAAGCTTCGGCCAGAAAATCATTCTGAACCGATTTAGATTTCTCTTTACATCCGATGTCTCGACATGTATTTTTGTATTCACTAATTTTAGAAAGTGACTCTGAATGGATTTATAAAATAAAAATTGAGCCTATTTCAAGTCATTTTGTGTATCGCGTATATCTGGACAATCTTAATCTTACCATTACCATATGTGAGGTTAAGTATTACTCTTGCTTACTTATAGATTTCACTGTAAAACATATTAACGTAAAGCTGGCTTAGTAACCACTTGTGTATATATAGAAAGACCGACGACTACTGGTTAACCAATTCTTCCAACTGAAGAACATGCAATCCGGAACTGAGGTAACTGCGATACGCAAGCAAGTAAGTAAAGTGCAAAGGAGGATTTCTAAAGTAATCCAAACCCACAATATCATCTCTTGTAAAGACGGAATATTTCATGATTAACAATTTTTCACATCAAAAGAGTTCTAAACGGAGTTTTGCCGATAAACATTCTGAATTCTATTAATCAGTTAAGAGATGATTGCTTATGACAGTTATTTTTAGGGAAATGCTCGCGGAAGATAGTTTTGTACTTCTTCGCATAACGAGGCCGGAGTCAAGGTGTAAGAAGCTTTAAGGATCATAGTGGTATTTAATCAACTTTTCTTTAACGTGCTATAGATTAACTTTGTTTTGTTTTCTTTATATTTTCTTTGACAGAGACTATAACATTTCCTCAGCCTGCGTGTTGAATTTTGCGTGTATATATGCGTGTGCATGACTTTCTCAATTTTATTATTGCGGCAAAGGGTGCATTTTTTTACTCTCAAGTTTCGATTTTCTGTATTCGAGGGGTTTCATGGTTTACTTCTCTTATACAAAATATTTGTTATTTTATGGTTTCTGTGTTTTTTTTTTTTCTTTTTTTTGTTTCTCAACACATTTTCAGCGCTTACAACGAACTATTTCACGCCTGTCGAGATAGTTGGTTGCATGGATGGATGGATGCATGTGTACAAAAGTGTGATTTATTTTGTTGAAGAGAGGAATAAAAAAAAAACGAATATAAATAAAAAACGGTGACACGGTTACAATTTCACTTAAATTTTTCATTTTTTTGTTTTTTTATTATTTATAAAATGAGGAATAAAAACTATCACGCACTAGAATTATCATTGGATCGGGATGTGGATGGACCAGCCCCAATGTCATCGCCTAAAACGAATGTGGGACTTTGGCGGGACGTTGACGCAACTGGTTGATAATGATAGCCCTCGCGATAACGCTGATTCGGTTTTCGCGCGGTCTGGATATGACCCAGTGTTGGTTTTTGGTTATTGAGTTCATTGGGTCGTTTGGCTAAAAAAATGCATAAAATTATAAATTGATATATACATATATATATATACATATATATATATATATTTATATATATAAACTGATTTACCAGGTATATAAGGCTTTTGATTGTAGGACGACGATGTTGATAGACGAATTAATTGATTGTGATGATTTGTATCGCTGTGCGCTGTGCTGTTATTGCGATTGTTATGGTTTGCTGTTTGAGAATGATTGTGCGGCACATCAGCCGTGCTTGCTATCGGACTCATGGGTGTCATTTCACGATCTTCAATGTATATATCGCTGCCATCATCTGGCACTTGCCGATACTGAGTCCAAGGCCATGCAGCTATACTCGAAAGGCCCAGAGATTCAATCGCACAAATGTAGCCGATTATCTATTTACATAAATTAGCATAAATTTCTTTATTTATTCTTTCATTTTTTATTTATTTTTTTTTTTATTCCGATTATAATAAATGAATCAATTTAACCGCTTACCGCTGATGTTAGTAAAGTGTCTTTAGTATGCTTTGATACCCAGATGTACTCTTCGGCAAAGAGAACCATGTGCATTAACAATGTGGAACTCAAAATAAATATTAAACCGATACTCAGGTACATCCATGTATTCTGTTAAAAGAGCAAATTTGTTTTATTTATTTATTTATTTATTTTTTTTAATATTTTATTTAAGCGGCAAGAGGGATTTTCGTAAATATATTATTTGCACTTACAATTTTTGTCCAATTGAAGGGAAACATTAGAGCTATATGCGAAATGTC